TAAAGTGTGATGAGTGATATTTACTTTCAGCAAGTCTCCGCTGTTCAATGATGCGCAAACACAATACATAGATATTACATGAACTAACAAGTAGAGACTTGTAAAGCATAGGTAATAATATGCAGCAAGAAACCTCAAAATTTCTCTTTTAGGTGAGTCTTCAAGATGCAACTTTTCGTATAATAAATAATAGAAAGAAAACCTGACATGGTAAATTATTATTGAAATGCGAGATTTCCCGGAATTTTTCTCGTAGGGAATAAACGGCGAGAATCCCGGGAAAGCGGGATTCCAGGAAAGAAACCCTACCATTGACCCACTGTGCAACATTTATTGATCTTTTGTTTGATGAGTTTATTGATCTGTTGCATTGTACAATCAGCAGCATAAGTTTTTATTTCTAGTTTTGCATTTTGAAATGTATAATAAAGTTGTGATTGTTGCAAGAAATATTTTTTACCTAATAATTTTTTAATTAATACAGGTATTATGTATCACAAATTAATAGTATGTTCTTTTTTCTGCCGTAATAACTAACTTTTTTCTATACCTCTAAACAACCTATCGCGTACCTCGGGTTGGGAATTGCTGTATTAGAAAATAAACCAATGGAAGGTTTCACCAAATTTGCCACATAACATATACCATAGTGTAGAGAATCCGGTCACCATGTGTCCTGGATTGTTGTAAGATTAAAGATAGACCATTATAAATCTTCCTTAAAATAGTACTCTCTTATGTGGACTGCTGCTCTAAAAGTTCTAACAATATGGTGTTCATGAAATGGAATGCTCTGCTATTCACTGCTCTCTTAATAGAAGTCCTGCTAATGTAAAACATGCGGCAGAAAATTCAGAATATTGGAAATTGCTCTCTTAAACAAACTGCTCCCTTAAACACTGTTCCTTTATAATGCTTTTTTGAACAAACTACTCTCATATCCTAAGCTCTGTTAAGTTGACTCAACTGTATGTACATTTAAGTATGAATGTATAAATACACAGTGGAAATTCAAGTATCCAAAATGGTTTTCAAACAAAAACCAGAACATGTAGCATTGTTCATACTATGCTACATGTTCTGGACCACAGAAACCAAAGCTCTCAATGTAACTGGAAATCACTATATCATCTGTCAATTGTGGCAGTGCAAAATAGGTCAAATACATAATGCTATGTTAGATTTTGAGTAAATTAATTTACTTAAAATCTAATATATATCTCAAAACTCTCTAATTTACCTATAAATATAGTAATTTAATTGCAGTATTTATAGTTTATAAAACTTAAATGCATGCTTTAAATGCTTGATGTATCCAAAACACAAAAACAAATGAATTTCTGGATTATTTAAAATTTTGTGTACTGAAAGATCCTGATCCCATCAAGTTTGAATAATCAAGATTTCATTATATATGTATATGTATTATATATATATATATGTGTGTGTGTGTGTGTAATTTGTTTTATTCTATAAATTTTGTATCAAACATTATTGATACAGTCTATGATGACTTCATGCTTAAAATAACTTCGTTGTTTTAGAAGCCAAGATTTATTTACAGTGTAAATTTACATAATTTTCTTGATATTAAATTTGAATCATATTATTAAGTTAAAACGAAAATATAATTGTTTATCTTACATCCTAATGTGAAATCTGTGTGAATAAAATTGAAAATGCTGAAATCCAAAAGCATTTGTACTGTGCTCTGTGTGCATTTGAACATAATCCTCTGGTAAATGTTTCACACACTTAAAAAATCTAGAATTTTTCCAATTACTAGAAGTCTTTGTTTCTAGCCTTGCATATCAACAGCAGAGAGTATGTATTATATTCCTTTAGTGATTTAAAACTTTTAGCTCTTTAGTGCTTAAACATATAAGTATGATCGAGTTTGCACAAAAATAAAATTTCATATGTATTTTAGATATTCTTCAGTGAATATTCAGTAATAATTTTTGGCCATTCTTTCTATCTACAATTCAACTGATGCAGAATCAGAACTTTCTCCTTACCATGAGTGAATCAGTACACAATATTCTTTCATTTTCTCTACTTCCATTGGTTATAATAAAATCTTTTTCCTATATTTTTAGCTAATTTTTCGTCTTTATTATCATGAAAGAATAAGACTTAGATGAAAACTGTGGCATTAGTGATCTATTAACATGTGCAATTTTTCATGAACCTTACTAAAACAATGCTTCAAAACTAATTCAACTTCACCAACTTTTCTGGTTTGATTTTTTTAACAAATGTTTTTGTTTTTTGTTTTGTTTTCTTTTTTGCTAATATTTCAATAGTCACTTAGTTTTTTAAAATTTGCACAAAACTTGCTATGAAATTTTTAATAGTGAAGCAACATTGTATTGACATTTATTTTTGGCAAATTTTCATAGCATTTTAAAATTCAAGTTTGTCTTTGAGGGACAATTCTTTGTGTTTCTTATTTGTGTCTTCCATTATGCTAAGAGGTGTAGAACAATAATAAAGATCAGCCATCGACAACAGCAAATAGCTAGTCTATACATGAAGTAACAAGTTCTAGAAATGAAAATTTAAACTGCAGTACAGTAGACTCCCCTATAACGCGGTAGATACGTTCCTCGTTATACGAATTTCGCATTGTAGGAATCCTTAAATACATGAGCCAATTGCAGCCCGACACGTGTGAAGTTTACGGACTATGGCTGTTTGAAAGGTTTTCTTCCATAAAATTAATCGATTCTAGACTAATTCGACTTAACATTTCCAAAATACATATAATTTTTTGGGAATAATCTGTATAAACTATGCTATAAACAAAAAATTGTAGGATTACTTACTGAGTGTGCACCGTTCGACGTTGCCATTGCTCAAGCTTGTGTTCATCGCGGAGCAGTGCACCAAACGGCGCCCGCGATTTCTGATGTTATTTTTCTGCAAAAAATTCGTTGAAGTTTGGAGACATCATTAATAAAAATAATTTCTATGGCCGTTGAATAAGAAATGTTTCTTTCACAAGAAATGTATAAAATTACAGTGCTGTAGTTAGCTTATGGTACCTAATTTACATACTGTACAGATGATAGTAAACTCAACTTACTTGCCTAAACTCTCCGTAGCGTGGCGCTGGATGGCGAAAGTATATATATAATTATAATAAAGCTATAATAAATTAAATTAATATATAATTATATATACAGTACCTAATTTATATATAATTATATGTACAGTACCTAATTTATATATAATACTGTACAGATGATAGTAAACTCAATTTATCCACCTAAATTCTCCATAGCGTTGCGCTGTATGGAGGAAAGTAGTTCGGCTGCTCGTCCACGATGACGAGTTGGTGATGACATTTTACCGCGTTTAATGCATCCCTTTTAGCGTCTTTATACTAATACTGTCGCAATTTTTTTGCCGCATTATAGGAATCTACGTTATAGGAACCCGTGTTATAGGGGGGTCTACTGTACTGTACAAAATGTTGAGTGCAAGATTAAAATGAAATTTAACATATTAATTAAGAGTAAATATCTTACATGATAGGATGATGCAATTCAAATTGATTCTGTCCTTTGTGCTGAGATTTTTTTTTTTTTTTTAGCAATGTCTATAATTGTTATCATCTGTTTTCTCAGTTGGCTGTTATTAACCATCTAAAATAATTCAAATTTATCATTAGTAACATAATGATAATAATAAGCAACTTTCTGATTACAATAAGCAAAAATTTTGTAATGTTTATTAATTTATGATAATATTTATGTTGATTCTGATAATATTAGATGATCGGTAACAATATAATCACTTAATGTAATCATGGATCTTGTTGACCTATTATTACATTAAGTGGTACAGTACCTACTGTACTTTTACTTTTTTTATTTAAAGCTTCTTCAGATTATATTCTAAATAAAAGATCAAACATAAAACAAGAAATTGAACATACTGAAATTTAAATTTGCTAAAATTACATAATAATAATAATAATAATTTCTTTCAACAGAATATTTTTTCATAGTCATAATTCAAAATTTATTGGAAATTTGTTTGATTAATTTATGTGAAATTATGTGTTATTACAAAATATTCTGAGAGAAAATATTACCTAATTTCAATTTAAATATATTTGATTTTTGTATGTTTAATCTTTTATAAAAAAAATATAGTGTTTGATCATTTCATCTTCATGCTTAAAATAACTTCGTTGTTTTAGAAGAAAAATATTTTTTAATTTGTAAGAAAAGTTTCTAAGCAGATATAGTATTTCACACACACTCACACACAGTTAGTATCAAACACCAAACACTTCAACAGTTTTATTTATTAAAAATCCTATATATTTTTAATAACTCTGTTTATTAACTTTATAGACTGTATATATAGTAGTAGTACAAGCATTTTAAAATTTTCTAATATTTTAAAATAAATCTTGTTAGTTCTTTAAAATGATGTAAGATTTTATATCAGTAGTTTATATCAGGGATGGCCTGTCTCACATAAAATATGAATAAATATATCAATTTCCCAGCTTAAAGAAGTATGAAGAAAAAATTCAAATGTTATTTTCTACAACTTATGTAAATGAATAGTTTTTCCACAATGAATTTAGTAAAAATTAAAACAAGAAACTGGCTAACAGACACATTGAAACTAATTTAAAACTAACAGTGACTAATATTTAACCAAATATTTTTGATATATTATGTTTACATCAGTTCCAGAAGCTAAATTAAGTATACCTATGCTAATTTATAATTATATATATATAATTGTGATTTACCACCATTTCCCCCCCTCTTTTCTCTTGTATGCAGCCCATGTCAGTTCAAAAGTTTTGAAATGTGGTCCTTACAAAAAAAAAAAGGTTGCCGTCCCTGGTTTATACCATGATATATAATAAAACACAAAAAGTATGTTTAAGTATTTAGGAATACATTACATGTACAGTACATATGATTTTATTACATTATTTCAGATATTCTTCATTAGGAAATCGACAAAATACTCATCCAAATCCATTGTTGGAAGAGATTTTGCCAGACGGAACATCAATATATAAACCTGCTTATTTGTTACATGATCCAAAAGAAGAAAGAAAAGGGCGTTTTTGATTAATTTAAAATTATAAATAATAATGCAGGTAATATAATATTTATGTAACATTTTTAAAATATGAAATTAATAAGAAAGCCAGTAATAGACTAGAGGTAAAATATTTATAATTAAATCTGTACTGGAAATAATAAATATTAACCAAATTTTATCTTACTGTTTTAAAACTTTTTAATTAAATTAAAACAATTTTAATTAATTTCATCTTAAATTATAAAATTATATTAAGTTGAAATATAAATATTGACAGTTTACTTTTACTGTGATTTTTTTTAAAAAATATGTTGTTGGTATTTTGAGTAAATGTTATAAATTTTAGTTTATTATTATTATTTTTGCTAATTGTTTAATTAATATAATAAAATAATCAAATATTTATTGTAAATTTGATAAACATTATCAACAGATTTTAAGTTTTATTAATTTTATACAATGTGAGTAATCTAGTAGGTAGGTTCTTGTTAATATCAACTCTGTGGGATTGCCTGTAAGGATTAATCCTAACTGATAGTTGGCTTTAATGAGTATTATGCAATTTTGATCTCAAAGAAAGTTATATTGCATAACAATGGTAACATTAAACCTTACATTTTATTGTACAACTGCTATTTCTGTTTTCAATTAATTTTTGTGAATCCTGTACATTTCAGCATATTGAGAATATGAAAAAAGTATCAGAATCTTCAATTATCGTTTGCTTGATATTCAAAGGAATACGTATTATTTTAGATTTTAAAAATAAAAATCTTTATACTAGTGTACAATATAAGAACACAGTACAGTCGACCCCCCCCATAACACGGTAGATACATTCCATTCTTTATGAAATTGATGTTCTAAGAGTTCTTAAATACATGAGCCAATCATAGCCCAGCACATATGCAGTTTATGGACTATGACTGTTTGAAAGGTTTTCTTCCATAAAATTAATGGATTCTAGACTAATTTGACTCAACATTTCCAAAATACGTATAATTTTTTGGGAATAATCCATATAAACTATGCTATAAACAAAAAAATGTAGGATTACTTATCGAGTGTGCCCTGTTTGACGACGCTGTTGCTTAAGCTTGTTTTCGTCGTGGAGCTTGTCATCAAATGATGCTCGCATGCTTCTTGATAAATTATTTTTTTTGTGAAAAATTCGCTGAACTTTGGAGACATTATTNTTACATGTTAATCACATCAGCAACCTTTCCTTTATTCCAGTATTACTTTAAAAACCTTAAATATTTTTGAACAGCTTGACTGTCCTGCTTCAGGTTGTTATATGTATAACTGACCTAAAGCTGTGAAGCAGACAGTCAAGCTGTTCAAAAACATTCTGCAAAAAATTCACTGAACTTTGGAGACATTATTAATATAAATATAATTTTTATGGACATTAAATAATAAATGGTTTTTAGTAGGTCCTCTGCTTGTTTAAACTCAACAGTTTATACAATATCTGCTATTGGTCTAGATTCAACCAATCCTGTCGCAACACGAGTCAACGATGATGTTTTACCGAATTATACGAGTTGTTTTAGCATGTTTGTATGAATACTGTTGCAATTTTTTCGCCATCATATAGGAATCCGAACTATATGAACCCGTGTTATAGCGGGCTTAACTGTATTTTCAAGTATGTTGGAAAATAACTTATTAACTTTTTTGAAAAATAACTTATTAACTTTTTTGAAAAATTCAGAATTTTGAATACAGAAATCAGTTAATTTTTTTTACATTTTATTGAAACTTTATTAAAGGAATTAATGTTACTTCTATGTTGATGTTGATACTGTATTAATTAATATTGTTTAGTACACTGTATATACAGTTCAAACCAGAAAAATGTTGACAGTAACTATTAACTGAAGTTATATTCTTGTAAGTGGAGTTCCATGTACAATAAAGTAAAGGACTTCAATAGGATAGTGATTTTCAACCAGTGTGTTGAGAGAGGATTGTAGGGGTGCCAGAAACATTTTTGAAGGCATTAAATAAATTATTTTCGAAAGAAGCCTAAAGAACAATTAGTGTACATGACAAAATTAAAACCTCTAAAAAACTCATATAATCAATTTAAATCGTTACAATAAATAAATGTATACATAATGTAGTAAAAATATATATATATATATATATATATATATATATTCATAAGCAATATTACAGTATATAAACTACTTATGCATAACACCAGGTTATTTCATTTAAAATGAAATTTTCTTTAAATCAAAAATGTATCTATAATTATAATTGTCCATATTTAGTTCAAATGATTTTCACTTAGAAATAATGGGACATTGGCCAGGTTTCTAAAATTGTGCCACTTTTAAATGCAAATCAAGATTTAATGTTAATTGCTTTTCTTATGTAAATGAAAATTATTAATTACTATTGTTGTAACCTGCTGCTATTTTAAGGAACAGCAATACTATTTTATTTAATTCAAACTTTGTCAATTGACTTTTGGCTTAATATTTGTTGATTTATTTTTTTGGTTTTTGTCTGTAGACACTTGAAAAAGGCCTAATGGCCACAGTGGCAAGTAATATGGTGATAGAATGTTTACAAACACAACTTTAAATCACATGATTTTTCTGCTGAAATTTAATTATAGGTTCAAGTGTCTTGAGATAAAAAAGGTTGAAATTGGCAGACAAGAAAAACTGACAATAGTAGTCAATAATTGATATAAGGAGAATCCACTGTATTTTGCATTTTGTGAAAGATCAAATAGATCTTATCTTACAGATTATTTCATATTATTTACTAAATTGTTATTAAAAAACAAATCAATTATGATATAAGGTATTTTACTTTTGATTTTATTTAAATATTTAAAAAAAATAAATTTGGAAAATTTAACATATCTATAATGTGTATATATTTTCTAATTGAAATAAAATTTGATTTTATGAAAGGATAATGCCATAAAATAATATTAAGTAAAAGTTAATTGAAAACATATAGTGCATATTATGAAATTATAATACATTAAAGATTTTTGACATAATTTCATAATGTTAAATTATTTGAATATTTATAGTTTAGGTAGTAATTAGTTTTTTTTGTATTGTGTGTCACAAATTTTAGGAATGTCTTAAAATACCTAAAATCACAATAATGTTTTGTATAGGTTAGCTAAACATAAAAATATGTTAAAAATTTCATGAATAACAAAAAGTTTTATTTCTAGTTTAACTAAAAGTATTGTCTCCTTTTTACATGATTCCAATACTTACCCTTGTTGTGTTATGTATGCATAACAAGGGTAAGTATTGGAATCATGTCAAATTTGACCCTCTAAGTTTTTTGCAAATTTCCACGTTTTGAGACCTGAATTCAAAAAAGTCAAGAAAAACAGCAAAAAATTCCATTGGTATGTGTATGTGTGTGTTGGCATCTATTTTGTTTAATATCTCAGGATGAGGTACATTTTAAGAAACAAAATTTTGGATGATGGCTTGTATATGAGGGACACTGATGATATTAAATTTTGGTGGTGAAAAGTTAAGAGGGTCCAGTGTGAGGGGAGATAGAGGGGTAGGACTTAATGAAGATTTTATTTCTTATTAATGTTTACATTATTTTTATAAAACTCACCCCTAACCTCAAAATTATGCTTTTTGTCATTTTATATTTTTAATTACTATATTTTGTTATAAAAACTTTTTATAACAGATGGTGTCACACAATTTTATTTTTGATTAATAATAATAATAGTTTTTTAAAATAAAATCTCATAGCAGCCGGGAAAGTTAGTCAACTCTTGTTGCTAGATTTTTTTATTTCAAACAAAAAATATTTTATATTTTTAAAAATTTTAATACTACTAGAAATTCTAAATCTATTAGTATGTTACATGTTAATCACATCAGCAACCTTTCCTTTATTCCAGTATTACTTTAAAAACCTTAAATATTTTTGAACAGCTTGACTGTCCTGCTTCAGGTTGTTATATGTATAACTGACCTAAAGCTGTGAAGCAGACAGTCAAGCTGTTCAAAAACATTCATAATGTTTAAAGTAATACTGGAATTAAGCAGAGGTTATTAATGTGATTAATATTTACATTATTTCTGTTTGAATTTCTTTCTCTTTAATATATTACTAATTATTATTACTTTTATATCTTTTCATAAGAATGTTTAAAAAAATAATGATAAACTGAAGAGAGGTAAAAAATGTCAATTAAAACCAATTGTACTAAAAATAAATAAATAAATAAAAGCATGTCTAGTCTAGTTGAAGAGCCTATTAGTGACATAATTTTAAAAAAGTAATTCATCAAATTAATAAATAAAATTTATTAAAGTCACTGAAGACTGACATATAATTATTTTTGTGTTATCATTTGAGTATTTCTCTTCATTAAGCATATGTTAAAAGATATGTTTGAAATTACTCCAATTTATACTTCTGCAAATTATATCCTTCATAACACCCACAAAAATAAATAATTTATATTTTAAAAACTCGAATGATTATTTGATTTATTAGACAGTTTAAAATATGTCACTTTATACATAAAATATCTGTTAAGAATTTTTTATATATTTAACTAAATTTTATTTTTATAGAAAATGATACAACAACAAAGGAATGAAGCAGAGATGGAGAAAACTATTACACTTCAAGATTATATCCAAATCTGCAGTCAGCTGAGTAAAAATATTAAAAGATCATTTGGACCTAGAGGCCAAATAGTGTTTATTTTGACTTGTACTGGACAAGTTGAATTTACCACTAATGGTTTAAAAATTATAAACAGTTTACATATATATGGTCCTATTGCACAAATCATACAACGAAGCTTAGAAAAATATCATAATATAACTGGTGATGGAAGCAAAATATTTTTATTGTTATTAAATGAAATGTTTGTTAATATTTTAGAAATGAAAGAAAGTTTTGGAGATTCATATAGAATGAAATTAATCAATGGATTTAATTCTTTACTCCATATCATATTGCCAAAATGTTTTCAATTATTAAAATTCAAATTTTATCCTTTTGTTCCAAAAGATATTTATAAAGTTTGTTTTTATTTGTTAAAAACATTTTTTAATGGAAAATTTGGTACTATAGTTTCAGATTATTTAGCAGATTTAACATATAAATTTATAATTAAGTATTGTAAAAATTTGAATTGTTTATCTGTTAAATATTTAATTGATCATTTTGATACTGTATGTACAACAGCAGTATCATTATCTGTTAATGATTCTCAGGTTAAGCCTGGGATTGTTTTATCTCAAGGCTTTTTAGTTGATTGTGAATATGAAACTACCGATGATTTCTTATTGAAATTTATTGTATATATTAATGATTCCAATAATTCTTTAAAAGAAAGTTCATTATTTATTTCAAAAAAACAAACTGTTAATAATTTATTTCAAGCAACTTATAATAATGATCTTGCTATAATGGAAATGCTAAGTCAACATAATATTTCTGTGATCATATGTGCTGGTGTATTCCCTGATTTATTAAAAGAAAAATGCAAACAATATAAAATATATGTCATTGCCATGGTACCTTTAGAAGAAATAAATTATTTATTAACCTTGAGTCAAATTGAACCAGTTCATAATATTTCAAATCCAATAAATGAGAGAAATTGTAGCAATTTAAGTTTTGTTAAAAGTATTCAAGTAGGAAATAAAAACTGTGCATATCTTGGTTTACAATGTAACCAAAGCATTGTTGAACCTTATCATTTATTGTTGTGTGGACCAACTGAAAGTATTTGTAAACAGTATTCAAAAGAATGTTTAAATTGTTTAAAATTAATTTATTGTTGGAGAAGCAATAGTGATAAAAAAGAAAACTGCAATATTTATGATAACAGTAGACAAAATAAATTAGAAAAAATCTTTGCTGAAGATATTAAGAGGATAACACACAAGTTAAGAATAGATGGTTGTGAAAAATTATCTGAAGAAAATTCAGAAAATATTCTTGCTACAATTGTACCAGGTGGTGGTTGTTGGGAAATGTATTTTCATTATATATTAGAAAATTTAAATCTATATATGTATCCATTGGAAGTGTCAACAGTATGTAAAATTCTTTCAAAATCACTTCTTGTTGTTCCTCAAATTCTTTATGAAAATAATCAAACTAAAAAAATACATTTTATTAAAGTGATAACATCAATAATTGAACAACTTAATCTGAATAATGTGTGTTATTTTAACAAATGGGGCGAGATACAATGTATAAAAGAAGCAACTATATTTGAACTTATTGTAGGGAAAGAGTTACTTATTTTTTCTGTGATTGAACTTATTATACAATTGTTACGGGTTGACTGTGTTGCAAATATATAGTAATGCCTTTATATTCAGAAAATTTTAAAATTATATTCTGTAAATTATATATTATTTTATGACAATAAATTTAGACATATGAAACTATATTTAGTTTTTTATTAATATTAGAATTCAAGATTTGTCATTAAAAAACTTCTCTAAAATATTTTTTTTAAATTGCCAGTAATCATTATAGCAGTATACTATCTCAGCTTGCATCAGATTTTACATCACTATGTTATTGTTCCAAGTGTTTTTGTAATCCAGGAACAAAGAGCAATAAAAATAGATGCAAGTCTTTTATTTAAAAAGACCAGTTTGTGTTCAAACTAAATATTCAATAGTTGAATTCTAATAGTTCTTTAGTTTCACATCTGAATGGATGAGGTGGTTAAGATGTCAGCCTACTGCTCTGGAATCCAGGACCAAATCCATGTGAGCTGCTGCAAGAATTTTTATGGATAATAAGGTCCAGATATGTTGGGCTTTGTCCCTCACTACCCGACCAAACCCAGGATGAATATGGAGAATGAGTATGAGAAAGTTCCTCATAGAACAGAGCAAAACATTAAATCTTTTGTGTTTCATATCACTCATCACATGCAAATAAAACTTTTTATATCCTCTTATAATCTGAAAAATTCAATATTTTTAAAGACATGAAGGATCAGCAGCTTATCCTAAGAACAATTCCATTGAGATTTCAAATTAAAAGTAATATTTTGTTTTGTATCTTTGCAAGGTATTTTTTTGAAAAACTTTATGAAAGTTGATATTTTAGGATGTAAAAAATAAAAAATATTTGAATTTGATTCTATTGTTTCTGATTTGTGATTAGAATTCTTTTTCATCCTTTGTCTTTGAAGACGTTCATCACCACCTCCTGAACTCGTACAAATAGAAACCTATCCTAATAGGAGGAGACTTCAATGCCTAGTCTGCGACCTAGCATAGTCCAAAAGATGACCCTAAGGGTAATGTAGTTAATGAAACCATGGCCCAACACAACCTTACTCACTTGAACACCAGCACCCTTCCGATCTACTCACGTGCCGGAGGGAAGTTAGATCGACCTAATGTTAGAAAACAGTCACATCAACCCTAGGGTTGACCACTGTTACACTACCAACATAGATTCTGCCAGTGATCATAGGTATATCTTCACCCAACTGAACACTACTAGTAATATACTCACTGCCAAAAGTTAAGCATGGAGCAATAAACTGCAAAAAAATCGACAAATACAGCTGTGATTGACATGAAATGCAGCAGGGCAGTAGCAAATATGTTTACCAGTATGCATGAAACAACGCAAAGAATTACATAGAAAAATGAAAACAATATTGAATTTTCATAAAGTATAAGATGAAATAATATTGGAATTATTAACAAAACGATGTTTAAATCCAAAACAAACAAACAAAACTGACATTAATAGGGTAAATGGTCACTCCTTATCCTTACACAAAGTTTACAGCATGTAACCATGCTTTTCATGAGGTGATCAACCACTCCAGAGTCAAATAAGTGCCATTCCTCCTGTAGAGCAGTTTTCAACTCTGTGAGAGTGGCAGGGGAGGAAACGTGCAGACACAGCATGGCTGAGGGCATCCCAAAGATTCTCAATGGGATTGAGGTCTGGCGAATACGCCGGCCAATCCATACGTGTGATTCCCTCACTCTCTAGGTAGTTGTTGATGAGGGCAGCTCTATGGGGTCGTGTGTTATCATCCATTGAAACAAAAGCAGGACCAACTGTTGCAGCATACAATTTCACAATGGGTTCAAGGACTTCATCCCGATACCGGACAGCCATCACAGAACCCCCTCGATAGATGTGCAGGTCAGTGCAACATCACAACGAAATGCCTGCCCACACCATAATGCTTCCATCTCGGAATGCATGATGCTCGATGTTGTTCTGGGGTCGATTGCGTGTGCCTTTTTCTCTCCATACTCTTACACATTTGTCATCTGGCCCCAGGGAAAAATTGTGACTCATCCATGAACACAGTGTTGCCCCAATCAGACACAGTCCAATTCACATGTTACTGACACCACTTTAATCATGTGACTCTGGATTGGACAGATAGTGGATCACAAACTCGTGGTACTCAGGCATACAGTCTGTTCATGTGTAGCCTTTGGCACACAGTAATAGCAGATATCATTTTACCAATGGCTGCTGCAACCATCGATGTCACATGTATAGAGGTTGCTCTTCGATTCCGCTTGGCTACAACAGCAATTTAGCGATCTTCTGCAGGGGTCATAATTCTTGGGCAACTGGCCACAGGTCTTCGGACAACTGTTTGGCTTGTTTGGAATTGTTTCCATAACCGTGAAATGATGGAATGATGAACGCCAAAGAAAAGAGCAACATCTGTGATTGATTGTCCTGCTTGAAGGTGTCCCACACACCGCCAGCTCTCACTGTCTGTCATTCGTCTTCTGGAAGTCATAGAAACATGTCAGTCATGCAAACTAATTATACGACAGTTCTCCACACTTTTTCTCAGCACTTACATGCAACGCCTCTCACACTTCAGAAAGCTGGCTTCTTATACGACTGACTGTTTTGCATATTTCGTGACACGTAACCATGATTGATAGTAATGTAACATATTTGCATACTTCCACCTATCTCTGCAGTGAATTGCAGCTTCTCAAATGCAGATTGCTTTCTGGGCATGAACATTTTCTGTTCCGTGCTTAACTTTTGGCAGTGAGGGTACTAATAATCATAGTTTTCACTATACTCACACTAACTGGCAATTATTCCACAACACCTTCAATAACATAATTGTACTAGAAGCCCAGCATTATTTTGACTTATTTCAAAAATGAAAAACATGACTATAACTTACAAACTAAGTTTCAGTCATTCTGTCTATTTATATCCTTTTCATTCCAGTCCAGGAACCACAAAATAGCCAGCAACTTGAAGAAAAAATCTTCTAAAAATAACAGACAAATACAATCAAAAAACCTCTCCACAATTAAAAATGATCTTGACATCGACCCTTTCTTGTCGAACCCAAATGTTATTGAAAACCTTCAATAACATTTGGGCTCGTACCCCACACCACAGTCACTATACTCAGGACACTTTATAAATCTTGTCACCAGGCTTACAAATACAACCACTAACTCTTACGTTATTGCCTCTGAGGCAGTGCTGTAACTAGGGTGGTGCCCAGGCACAGGGCGCAAACAGAAGCTCGCACCAGGCGCATAAAAGGCTAGTTACAGCACTGCTCTGAGGTCAAACATTGTAAACACAAAAAGGTTCCTTGGTGGACCACTGAGCTAGAAAACAAGAAAAAAGTTGTTAGGAGATTAAGGAAGCAATTTAGGAATGAACGGGACCCAGACATTAAAGTCACACTTACAGACCAGTACATGTACGAACACAATGCTTACAAAACCTTATAAATAAAACAAGGACTAATACTTGGAAGGATTTCTGTACTAACACTTGTGTGAGCGGCCAGACTTTACAGGAAAATTTTTTGAAAAAGAAAAGATCACTACGGATATGATTATATCATTTCCCACGGACTTGGTTCCCTTTTTGGAGATGACACATCAAATGTGTCACTAGGAATTAAATGCAAAAATCGCCATTGGATGTGAAGGACGATTTTACCATAAAAAGACAAGAGTTGTGAGGGGGAGGACCCCAAATAAAGGAGAAGATCCAATGACGAGACAGGGAGTTCATTTGACAGGAGAGTCCATCCATCCTCGAAGGTTGGTCGTGTGTGTGCACTTGGATACACTTCGCCACCAATGCTCCTCCAATAGCAAGCAATTAGAAGCTTAACCACTGATAGCCAATGACCCCAAGTACCTACCAAGAATGTGTCTCCACCGGAAAAAAAAAACCCAAATCAAGAGAGTGATCTTCAGGTAAATACCACGCGCGAACATTTGTAAACTCTCTCTCACTTAAAGCATATGTGTAACTAGTTTATATAATCAATAAACGGATATTGTTTTCTATAATTGAATTGTAAAGTGCACTTCTTTAGCCCAATTGGTCTCCATCCCGAGTCCAATCGCCCACAGACACGACTGCTCATGCTTAAAGGCGAATGTAACGGTCTCTGTATCTACCCAGAAGACACAGTGGTGTCAGTCCTGACAAATTAGTCATTGCAGTCTTCACTGAGGTGATGTCAACAATGTTCCCTCTAAGCTGTGCGGCTGCACACTGCTCAAATTGTTGCCGCACACAAGAATTTGTGCACCGCACAGGTGAGCTTCCACACTGATTTGAATTGTTGTTTAATTATTTCTCACTCTGTCTGCAACATGATTATTGTTACGTATATTTTGATTAAATACATTAAATCATTGACAAAAGGTAATATTTCGTATGGAAGTATGTTTTAAAATGAATTTTAATCTCTACCTTAATATTAATTATTTTAATTTTTATAGCAAAAAGTAAGATTTTATATATATGCTCAGAATCTGCTCAGTGAAAAGTTTTTTTGCTCAGAGAAGTATGTTCCGCTCAGCTACAAAAAAAATTGGAGGGAACATCGGATGTCAACCCTTCAGTCCTGTGGTGCCGAAGCAAAGGGGGCGCTTCACGCATTGTCACACTTGTGGTTGCAACCCCTGGTCTGAACCATACTACTTAGCTTATAAGGAAAAACGTCAGCTCCAAACCCCCTCCACTATCCAGCTACACCAAAAACATGGAAGAAGCTATCATGCACATCCTCACCAGCCTTCATCCAGCTCACAAGCGGTCATCCAGAATTCTACATTCACTCCACTTAATACAGACAATGACCACAACTTCGCCTACATCAAGGTTTCGAATGCCATCTGTTTGCTCACTGATAACAAAGCCCCAGGTCTTGACGGCATAACTACTAGGATGATAAAACATGCATTTGAGGCCAATTCTACAGTGTTTGTAATTCTCTTCAATATATTCTTGAAGACTGGCCTTTTTCCTACTCAATAGAAAAAGGCTAGTGTCAAATTGATTCACAAACCCACCATTGCTAACACTTCCAAAAGATACAGGGTGATCTGCATTCTCCCAACTCTGGGAAAAGTGTTAGATGTTCTAATGATTAATAGGATCACATGGCATGTACACAAGCATAGAGCCCTGCATCAGAATTAGTTCGGCTGCTCTAAAAACACAAAGGTACTGTAGATGCCATCCACCAGACTAAACATAATAATCAGCATACCATAATTATCACTATTGACTTTAGAGGCACCTTTGATCACACCTGGTGGCCTTTTATCATGCACATATTACATGCTCATCAATGCCCTCAAAATCTTTACAAACTTCTTCAGTCCTATCTTAGCAACAGTAGTGCAAACGTTTATACAACACAAAATAACATAGTCATACCCATCACTTGAGGCTGTCCTCAGGGATCCAGGCCTGGTCCTGGTCTCTGGAACATAGCCTATAACTCTATCTGACACCCTGTCTCCTGGTTGTCACATACAGGGCTATGCAGACAACACAATTATCTTAGCTTCACACAGGAACAGTGAACACTTACAGGACATGTGCAGCTACATTCTCAATAACATTCACCAGTGGAGTATTAAGCATAGGCAACCATTAACACAGACAAATGCGAAAGCATGATAGTTGGTAGGAACGTGCCACTCATTAGGAAGCTTACCCTTCCTGATGATTGATGCTCACAGAAAAAAGCAAACAACGGAAATTAAATATTTAGGTGTTATTCTTAATGAGAGACTTAACTTCACGCCCCATGTCAAATATATCACGGACAAAGCTAAAAAGATGGCCACGTCCTCATTAGTATTGCTAGGAACACATGGGGCTTAGCTGCTGGGAATTAGAC